ACAATATACAAAGTCATTTTCGATCGTAAAACTTTTTATAATATTTTATAGCGATTATAACACCTGTCAATACAGATAATGTTATACTGTTAAGTATAGTCAAGTAATGCAGTAACAGTTTAATGTAGCACAAAATTTCAGAACCCCTTTTACAACACGCCAATAGATAATCAAGTTCAACAAACATCGAATTATCATCCATAAAGTTTGTTAGAGAATAAAAAAAATGGTGGTTTAATTCAGCTATCTTGAAAGTAACCATAAATTTAAAATTTCTGGAAACTGTCGGTTTTTATCTTATAATTGTTGCTAATTTTAACAAAATTAAAACTGGACACATCATAACTAATCTGTGTGAAACTGTGTAACGTCCACCGACGGTCATGAAAATCACTCAAAGAAACTCTATCTAAATTCGCCTGTGTTTTTTTAAGCTTATCAATAATCCAGTCAACTTCTGACGCTTAGTAGCATTGAAAACCATAGAATATTTAACTCAAATAAAACGTTATCACACACTTTCGCTAGCGTTTTGCAATATTTTTAGGTATAACCAACAAGAAAAACCACCTGTAACCAAAAGATTAGCAACTACACCGAAAAAAAGTGATATATCACGTTAAATGTTCCTCGTACAACACCTGAAAAAAATCAAAAAAAAAAGCAAACAAACCCTAATTGACTTTCAAGGTAAAAAATCTTGACCAACAAAAAACGACATTGAGAGAGAAAAAATGATACCGTTTATAAACTGTAAACTAACTGGGTAAACTGAAAAACAATCATTTGATCAGTTTTCCGAGTTATCACGAAAACTTCTTGTCATATGGCAGGAAAAGTCTTCATTTCTCCATTTCCTGTACCCTTAACCCCTTCCACTCACTTCTTGCTCACTGCTATCCTCAAGTTCTACCTCTCATTAAGTAAGCAAAACGTTTAAAAATGTCAAAAATTTTCCACAGTTGATCGATAAAATTCATAATTATAAAAAAGGATAATTTTTAATGCGTATTTAAGCAGATTTTTTTCTACTCACTTCCTTTGTTAAAAAAAAGTGCTCACTTTTTTCACTTTTTGTTTTGAACAATTTCTCCATCCGTAAATTTTTTTAATTCATTAAAACCTCTAAAGACAATTTTTTGACAGGCATTAGATGAAGAAAAAATGACGCCTGGAAACCACTCTGTTTCTATCTCATTCATTTTTTTTCTTCATTCACCATGAAAAAAACCGTTGTACACTCCGATTAAATCAAAAAAAAAAAAGAAATACGAGCGAAGAAACAAGAAATAAAGAACAAAAAAAAAAAAA